TCAATGGGCTCAGTTGCAGGTGTTTTGTCTGTCTTTGTGCTCCTCCCCTTTACAGGTGCTGCTGATTTGTTAATTTGGAGCACAGAGCATTTAAACCTGGCCGTCTCCATCTTTTGAGTCGCCTTCGGCGTCCACTCTGCTCTTGACGGTTGTGGTGTTGTGTTTCCAGGCCTCAGCTCCCCTCCTTTTGCACATTTGAGTTTGTCTTTGTTTTTGCACCTCCACACTTCCATATGCACTCGTGCAACACATCCAAGCATTTGCATTATACCACTGATACTGACATCCACAATCCATTGTTGTTTTGTTGATAAATATTCCTTTTAATGCACTTGCGTGGGCTCCTGTTTTTGTTATGACCTTGAGCCAGTCGTAACAATAATGTACGTCAGACGTTGCTTGTCTGAATTTGGAACAGTAATAGTTGTCACCTTTGTGGTTCTGTCCCGGAAAACACCAGAATATAGAAAAACTCACCGGTGAAAAATTTGAAACTGTAACTGCAAATACATGTTGTGACGTCTCAAAATTTGAATGGAGGAACTTTTAAACAATCGGAATTTTTAGCTTCCCTTTTCTTGTTCTCTGAATATTTTGCAGCCAAATTTATGGATCTAAGTGGAACTTTTTTGGCAATAACATGAAGATGTTTTTTTTTTTTTTTACGGGTTCTGAAATGTCTGTTTTGCTTTCTCTTTTTGCAGCTGCAGAAAAACTGCCTGCTGTCTCTGTGCAGCGATCGCATCTTACAAGAGGTTCCATTCAACAGGTGAGACACAGATCTTCATACCGTCTCTAAATAGTTCACATCCCGCTATTTAACATCATCTGGATTGTGAGTCGTCGTGCATTTCTGTTCACAAGGTTCGAAGCAGCCAAACTGGTGATGCAGTGGCTCTGCAACCACGAAGATCAGAACATGCAGAGGATGGCTGTGGCTATCATCTCCATACTGGCTGCTAAGGTAAGGTTGTCTGACTCACAGTCTTCTCGGCATTCCAAGTCTTTTTCACGGTCGTGTTTGAACTTTGCAGCTGTCCACCGAACAGACCGCCCAGCTGGGAGCAGAGCTGTTCATCGTGAAGGTACGACTCCCCACGTCTGGAAAAATAATCACAGGTTTACCACAAAAGTCGACAACCCCTAAATTAAATACACGCTCTCTCTCCCCGGCTTGCAGCAACTGCTGCACATTGTGCGTCAGAAGGCAAACCAGAACGTTGTAGATGCGACGCTGAAATTTACGCTGAGCGCGCTCTGGAACCTCACAGATGAATCGCCGACGACCTGCCGCCATTTTATTGAGAACCAAGGCTTGGATCTGTTCATTAAAGTGCTGGAGGTACACAGAAGCCTTAAAAATAAGGCTCTGCATGCTGATTCCTACAGGAGTTACTCATCATTAGCAGCGCATAGTACATTTGCATATCTCTGTAGGGCATTGTGACTCACTTTTATTTTCCATCCCTCCCCTCCACCATCGCTGCAGTCGTTCCCCAACGAATCTTCCATCCAGCAGAAGGTGCTCGGTCTTCTGGTATGTTTACTGACCTTCCGAAAAAACCTCCAGTTTGCTTGACTGGCCAAATTAAGGCCTCAATAATCCTTTTTCGCCCTCTGCCACGCAGAACAACATAGCAGAAGTCAGGGAACTGCACAGCGAGCTGATGGTGCAGAGCTTTCTGGACCACATCAGTGCTCTGCTGCACAGCCCCGAGGTGGAGGTCAGCTACTTCGCCGCCGGCATTCTCGCGCACCTGACGTCACGAGGCGAGGAGGCCTGGTCGCTCAGCCCGGCTCTGCGGGGCTCGCTGCTCGAGCAGCTGGTAGGAGTTCGGCAGAACCTCCTCAAAGTGATGGATGTAAAACACACGAAGCACCGTGGTCATTTACGTGTCCGCCTTTTCTAGCATGCTGTCATCATGAAGTGGCCCCCACCAGAGTGTGAAATGGTGGCTTACAGGTAAGCTGCAGACATGGAGATTTTATACAGCGCATCCTTGGAAACTTTTAAATTCATCTATCTGAAATTAAGGCCTTAAAATATCTTAAATTCATTTTTTTTTTTTTATTAAATTACCTTAGATGCGTTAATCATATTTTGTCATGGCAGAACTATTAAAGCTATTCTGTGTAGTTTGTCTTTTGAGACTTCTATCAGGCAAACATTTGAGTCGCACTCTGAAACGTCATTACGTTTTGTGATTGAGGTTACCGCTTACTAGCTGCTAATAAAACCTTCATAGCTAGCTAGCTTCTTAGCATCTAAGCTGTTTGATGCTACTTGCCCTAAGGGCAAAAAAGCCTGGCACTACCACATGAAATTACATTTTCTTTTGTACATTTCTGTCATGAAATAGGTCTTAAATTTCATTCATAATGGTCTTAAAAAGGTATTAAATCTGAGTTGGTGAAACCTGCAGAGGCCCTGAATTTCTGTCCGTCACAATAAGCAACATTATTGCTACTGTGGTTGTTCAGTAAATCTTTACAGCTTGTGTTTAAAGTAAATTTATCCTTCTCTTGTTCCTCAGGTCTTTTAACCCATTCTTTCCCCTGCTGGAGTGTTTTCACACACCTGGCGTCCAGCTGTGGGCAGCCTGGGCCATGCAGCATGTGTGCAGCAAAAATGGTGAGACGTTTTATATAGGTCTGTTTTTTTTCTGCGCTGATGCACTGTATTGTAAACAGTCCGTCTTTTTCAGTGTTCAATACATGCAGACATTATGTACGTTTGTAGACAAGCGATCGGACTCAGTTGCACGTCCTTTGGATCGCGATCCCAAAACTTTTCTTTCTAATAAGTGGGTAGTATTTTCTGTTATAGTCTTATGGAGTATATTATTACTATTTTTCACATTTTAAGAATTTTTCAACTTCATGTTGACGTTGCACCTTAATTTCCCTTTTGTAAGACAATAAAGGTTGCTCCTGTGCTATTCAGATAAAAGTAAAGATATTGATAATCCTTGAATTTTTCGGAGATGTGAGTTTTTGTCAAGATTTGTAAGCTCAACAATGTTTTTTATGCCTAAATAGACTGGCTAAAAGTTAGCCCATGCACACCCCAAACGCTGCTGGAAACAAATACCTGCCCCACTTTTCAGACTTTCATCAGTGAATACTTTGAAAGCCCAGCATGCATTTCTTCACACCACCCTGCTCACCTCTCTGATGTTTCGTTTCCTGCAGCGTCTCGCTACTGCAGCATGCTGTTGGAGGAGGGCGGCTTGGACCAGCTCGAGCACGTTCACACGCACCCGCAGACCCACAAAGACGTGAAACTGCTGGCCGAAAGCATCCTGGAGAGCCTGCAGCGACACAGAGCGCGCACCGGCCAGCCCGCGCACACAAGTCGACGTCCGCCTGCGCAGTAACGCCACACAGGTAGAGAAAACTTAAAATAAAAAGCTTACACCTATGAGATGTCTAAAAAAGACATCTCATCCTCTTGTGTCTTCCCTTTCAGAAAACGGTGAGCCTTGATGAAGAAGAGGAGCTGGAATGCCGTCTCGTCACAGAAAAGAGAGTCGTTTGAGAGGAGAGCGCATGCGTGGTGCGATTGCGACGCCCGTCGCTCACGCAAACGCTCTCGGATGCTTCTGATGAAAACGGAAGCAAAAGACGGAGAAAACGCAAACGTTTGCACACTCTAAACCTTATTTATTTCCTTTGTGTTCATTTAAAGACAGAAATATTTTGAGCCCAGAGATGGGGAATATTGAAATCTTGATAAGCTGGGTTTTGTATTTGTGCCCGCTCTCATTCGCCCGAGCACTTGGATGTTTCTCGCGCCAGAAAACGCCGAGGTGCGTCAAACCCCAAACCGACCGACTGAGCTGCAGGCAGGAGCTTTTGGTGGCTCCCGCTGTGTTGCCAACTACTTTATTGTCTGAAATGGGGGGGGGGTAAAACTTTAAATATATGCATGACACTGCTGAGAGCTCAAGCATGCTGGTGTGAACGCTCGTACTATTGGTTTTAATAAACGCCTGCACGCTTGATCGTAGCGGACCTCCAAGCACTAAAATCATGCCTCTGCAGCACTCACTTTATCTACCTGCTAAAAGGGAACTTGATACGGATGCGTTCGGGGGGTCGAAATGTTCCCCAAAATTACTGAGATAAATTGATATTTTCTAAACTGGTTTTGAAACAACTGAGTTCCAAAACTCAGAAGCAGATTTTATTGGAATATTTAGCCCATCATGTCTGTTGTTTTTGTGCAAGTCTATTCTTCTGGACACAAATGCCAATAATGACCTGGGGAGAGTAGCTGTCATCTGTTTTCTCCTTGGGAAACGCATGTATATATATATATGTTTACGTTTTGCTCCGTTTCCCAACGTGCATTTTATATGCAGTGTAATATATAATGAGGCCAAAATAGTTCTCTGCCAAGGAGGATTTCAGTTTTTGCATGCAATTCTATTCAAATATATTTTTTTCACCCTAACATACATAGGAATCATGTTGAAGAGAAAATCTGCTGACTGTGAGGCCACACCGTGTTGGATGCCTCTGCTGTCCTCTGGGTTCCCATACGAATGCTTGTTTTGTCCATACAGCTTTAAATTTGAAACATTTTTTGATCGTAGAGGACCCATCACAAGACCAGAGTTGAGGTTCAGAATTGTGGGAGCGGCCATTTGCAGCAGCTTTTTTTAAAATCTCAAAACTACCTTGCTAAAGTATTTGAACGTGTAAAAATGTTTTCCCATTACAGCTTATTAATGAGTAGAAGAATGACAAACTGATTTCATACAATGTGCTACTTGGTTGCTTCGTGTTGGTCCATTGCACGGACTTCAAATAAAGTAGCTTGAGGTTTGTGGCCAACTGAATAAAAAATATTTGCCGCTAACGCAGTTTTTGTTCTCGCTAAATTTATTAGTAGTTTGGGAATCACTGCTGTAGATGCGCAAACATTTTCTATACTCAAATGTGGTTTTTTTTAAATGCTTATCCAGACTTTGAATAATACGAGTTAATTGCATGTCCAGACTGCAGAGGCTGCCACTTTAATTATTCACTTCTTAGTTCTCACCTTGCATTTTCTATGCAAGTCACATCAACCTCCGTTTTACAACCTGCGGTTAAAAACAGTGATGCCGTAAAGGACGGGTCAGTTTGCATACATAACAAGGTGAAATAAATAAATATACCAGACAGCAAAGCTTACCTAATGTACACCCCCTGATCTGCACAGTGAGTTATGGCCTTACGGTTTTGTTAAATACGTCATGTACCGTTTGTTAAGCATCCAACTGGGACTGGATTATGAGTTTTAATAAGGATTTCTGTCGCGTCCGTTGAATTCGGCTGTTTCGTCCATTGCTTGAACATTGCTCAGATTTAAAGCCAGTTTTAGTTTTCTTACGATTTATTTCAACTAGAAAAGGAAAGGGGTAAAAAGAATAAACATTAAAAAAAAATTGTATGTATGCCAAGACTGTGCCATTATGCTGCTCAGTCATGTTTTCAAGTATTAAAATAAAGAATGTGTTGCCATATAAACTGGAGCTTTTTTTCTTTTTTAGTCCACTCAAAACACAATGAGAACATTACCTACTTATGATTGAGAACGACGATCGATTTGATCAACAGAACCCACCCACTCAGATCCTACAATATCTCCTTCTGAACTGTGGGTCAACTAAGTAGAAAATCATTTTGCAGCCCACACTGACCCAGAACTTTAAATGCATCATTGGATTTAGGGGGGATTCTTTGCAAACAGTGTCTGATAAATATCTTTCTTCAACTTCATGTTGGTGTACCGGCGGGGCGCTTTCATTCCCCGGTGTATCGTGGCGGTCTCTTCTCGATGAAGGCCGCCATGCCCTCCTGTCGGTCCCGTGTGGGAATGACCTGAGAAGGACCAGGCGCCACGTGAGGATTTGATCAGTTTTAAGTGAAGGCAGTAAAGCTCTACCTAGCAAGGCTAAACCATTGGAATCGTCCACTTCTTTACATTAAAATAATGATCCGGAAACATCGCCGGAAAACTTACCCTGGCATAACACAGCCTCTCTATTGCCATTGCTGACCCAATGTCAACCTGCGGGAAACGAATTGGAGTCACTCCTTGTTTTGATATCGAGACATTGCAAGATGCAGATTATGAAGATGAATCCCTCGTGTATCACCTCAACGCCTCTATTTATTGCTTCTTTGGCCATCCGCACAGCAAAAGGAGCCTGGTGATCACAAAGGAAACAACGTTGAGTTTCACCATTTTTTGCATAGATGTATTTAAAACTAGACACAAAACCTTCAGTTTTTTAATCAAATAGAACAAATTAAGGGGTCGAAAAAAATACAAAAATATCATATGAACATTACTTTGTATGCAGGGCTTTCACAGTTTTGCAGAATAGAGTGTTATCAAAGCTCCATTTCCTGAACTGTTTGTGAAATACATTTCTGGTCACATTCTTAAAATTTTTTTTAAAAGGATTCAAGACGTATATTTTTATTACATCAGTGTGATCTTCCACTGCGTTTAGATTTTTTTTTTTTTTTTTGATTTGGTCACAAGGAACAGGACCGCAGCTGTTTTTTGGGTACTCTACCCATCTCTGGTCCACATTTATATCCCACTCTGGTTCTTCAGAACATTCAGATGATGAGACTGGACGGCCACCACTTATTAATTTGCAGCTAAAAATAGACAAACTGTGATCTAACCTGGGGTAGTATCTCTCTGGCCAGGGTCAGAGCCTCTTTGTAAGCAGCATCTCCGCTCTGGTTCTGTTCGACGGCTCTGTTTACAAGCCCCAACTCCAGAGCGGCCTGCCCTCCCACACGCCTGCCTGAAAACACACAGAGACGGACAGCCGCATTTCTCCGTCAGACCCTCTGTGAATCTGCTGAGACGTCTGAATTTCTGTCTCACCACCACCTGTGAAGATGAGCTCCTTGGCCAGAGTGACGCCGACCATCCGTGGCAGCCGCTGGCTGCCCCCTGCAGGACAAACCCCGTCAAGGTGAACTTCTCGCGGCTCCTTTGTAAAACAAATCGGTGCGGCTGGGGGTGATTTCAGTGATTTCTGGTGGACTTACCCGCCCCCGGGAGCAGCCCTCGCGTCGTCTCAATCAGACCCATCTGGGCGGAAGTTGCTGAAAGACACGCACACAAAACAGAGGACGGGTGAAGGTCAACGTCTGAGTGATGCCTCTGTCAGAGCGTCGGACCCAAACACCTGCTCACCTCGCTCAGCCGTACGCAACCAATCACTGAAGTGCCACACCTAATATAACCTATCGCTCGGTGATGTATGTACATGCACAGCTAGGCAGATGGCTATCATTAGCACCACTGCTCCACGCCAGGTCATTAAAACACCTGAGACATAAAAAAGTGATAGAAAATTCAACCCCTTCACTGCCTGAATTATTTACAGCTATGGAAAGAAATAGACTGTAGATATAATATAGAGATATTTAGTGGGGAGTTGAACCGTAACCAGTGAACAATTATTGACTGCAACACTTCAGAGTTTTATGATTTGCTATATGGCTGAAATCTGCTCAGAAAGGACCCCCAGTGTGGTTAACATTTAGCCTTCCACATCCATGACAATTCCTCCTTCTCTCTTCAGATTCAGTTTGGTAAGAGAGTGAAAACAGGCAAGTACCTCACATATCCCCCTACACTGTAAAAACAAACCCAATCTATTCCGATGTTGCCGTTCACTGTAGATTTTTAGGCATCTTGTTCATTCTCGTTTCTGCACACGTGGACGATTTTTCAAATAGAAGCATTTGAAAAATGGATAGTTGGATAGTTTCCAATGTCCTTAAAATTCCTCAGTGAAATAGGAAGATAAACATGATTTTTCACAGCAGATCACTGTTGATACAGACAGGCACTTATGGCTCCTAGCACATATTTATACCACTTCAAATTTTTCACCTTTTGCCATGTTCAAGCTACAAACGTCAATGTGTTATATAACACGGAGAGGTGCGTAAAGCTAAGAGCAAGAAAAATGACAAGACTTTCCAATTTTTTACATAAGAAAAAAATAAGCATAACTACGATCTTGAAAAGCTGTGTGTAAGAATCGATGCTTTGAAGCAGCCCACATCACGGTCCAGCACTTCCACTTCACAGCTTATATTGTATGCTTTTTTTAATAAAATCCCATTAAAATACATTGAGATCTGGGGTTGTTACCTCACAAAATGTGAATGTTAAAAACAGATGAATACTTTTGCAGGTTACATGCCCACTGAGACTTTGGGACGCACCAGTACCAAAAGTCTCAGAGCCACAGCTCTGAGCAGCACTGATGCAATCTGGGAACTGTCAGTCTAACGCAAAGACTGGAAATGGAAGTTCCTATCCTCCGTCACCCTGTGTAAACTCACCCGCTGACCTTATGTGACTGGATTACTGACAGCTGCAAAGGCAGAACATGACGTCCCCCTTCCAGCTGAATTAGCGTCACCTGCCTGAGCAGCCGTGCGCCTTTTCCCAGCCGGGCTTTGACAGGTGAGGTCACTCACAGGCAGTGCGCAGGTCGCAGGCCAGCGCGAGCTCCAGTCCACCTCCCAGCGCGACGCCGTCCATGGCTGCAATGGTGGGCGTGGGTAATATCGCTGCCGAGGCAGAAAGACGAGGCGAGGAAAGTTCAAAGCTCCACCCCAAACTCATCATTCAACCCCGTATATTGATCCTCCTGCTACCTATTTGAGTCATGAGGGAGCGCAGGCTGTGAACGAACAGATCGGACTCTGAGTTGTCCATTAATGCTCGTTCTTTCAGGTCGGCACCTGTGAAGAGAAATGGTTATAGGTTCACAGATTCACCGAGAGCTTTCACGCAGAACCTGCCATCCCCGCACCCCCTACCAGCACAGAAGACCCCCGGCACCAAACTCCTGAAGATCACCACGCGAACCGCTGAGTCATGGGACAGAGTGGACACCAGCTCCCTCATCTGCACACAAAGGAGTGTAGGTCTGTGTCTGTACTGCGAGTGTGAGAATGTGAGCGATGTAGACAGGTCTGCTCACCTGTGACACAAACGTGTGACCGAGAGCGTTCCTTGCTCTGTGTCGGCACATCAACACCTCCACTATTCCTGAGGGACAAACAAAACACAAAACGTTAACCCGAATGGTTAACAATGAGCGGATTTGTTAAACCTGATGGCGAATAAGCTACTGATTGTCAGCAAAGTTCATGACTCCTTCCCTCCTCTGGCTGTGTGCAGCAGAAGTAGACTAGTCACTTCCTGTTTTCTGTGAGTTTGGTTTATTGGAACTGGTCTGAAAATATTGAGCCAGCATGGGATTCCCAAACAGAAAAGAGACAATTATTCCTACAACCGCTTATTTGATTTGAACTTTATTAAACGTCTGGTTTGTTTGTTTTTTATTGGAGCCAGAGATATTTCTAAACAGTTTGTGAGGATTAACTTTCACTCAGACAGGACAGGCAGTGTGATTTGAAGTTTCCCCAAAGCGCACCTGAATTCTCACACATCACAGAATAGCTCATTTACAGACTTTAAATTGTCCACTAAAGGGGTTCACCAGTCACCAGTTGCTACCAGTTACCGTCTCGTATCAAAAGTCCAGACAACAAACACTCAACGATGGACCATCATTAAAAGACGTCAGCGGTGGTGGGTTTTGACCGGAAGTGGCGCCCCCCAAAGGAAGTTCTTCTCAAGGCTCCACTGAATTTTGGCCCGGCTGTGGTTTCAGGTAAAACCGCACAAAGACACGTTTCACTCTGTGATTTCCCCTGTGAGACAAACACAACTCTACCTTCTGATAATAACCCAGAAGTGGGTCGCCTGTGGGAAAGCTGCTGCTGCTTCTTTCTTCATCAGTAACCAAGCAGCTGCACTCCATGCAAAGGACTTAAATATTAAGAAATAAATGAATAGAGCGTAGCAGCTAACATGACTGCTGTCCAGCTATAATTATGATGATATATATATATATATATATATATATATATATATATTATATATATATATATATATATATATATATATATATATATATATATAAAATTTGTCCCTACCCTCGTCCTGTCCCTCGAGCCGCTTCAGCTCCACCTCCACCTCCGCCGCTGTGTGCTGTGAGCGGCTGTCGGCGCGGCTGCAGGCCGCGAGAGAGCGACTTCCCCCGGCGAGCAGTCGCGTGCCGTCCCGGTGTAAAACCTGGTGTTTAAGTCGTTGCGTTTCCCGCGGTGGCACAGCCAAGCGCCGCAGCAGAGAGCACCTCGGTACGGCCAGCCTGTGAAGGACAGATGCCATGTTCAGGGTTTTGTTTTGTTTTGGTCCTAAAAGAAGCGGCGTGAGAGTAACTAGGGGGGGCAAAAAGTGTACGACGAGGGCAGCAGGAAGTTTGCTGCAGCTTTCCTTCCTGAGGAAGGAGGGACCTGTTTGCTCCTGGACGCCAACAGCGACAACTCCGAGTGAGCGACTCTTTTTATTTATCACAAGTTTAACTTCCATTTATATAAATAGACGCATATCAAAACTATTTTAACTATTAGTAGTGTGTTCACAGGGGTTTTTTCATGCTAACTTTAATGCGTTTTTTTATGTGAAAAACCTGCACAAAGTAAAGAGAGTAAATAACATGGTTTTCAGAAGAGGTAGTCACAATACCTTTACCTTGATACCCACAAATAAAAATGCAGTGCAAACAACAACCCCCTATTGGTAAAATGGCACCCAGCTCTGTTTAATCTCACATAATTCAGCTGCTCCATGCAAGTTTTGCAGGAGAGCATCAGTGAACAAGCAGCACCATAGAGACCAAGACAGCGGACAGGTCTGGGGAAAAGTTAGGTTAGTCTTGAACATCCGTCAGAGGTCCACGCAAACCAATCATCCAAAAGTTTGAGCACTATCTAAAAAGAGAGTTGACTCACTTTTTTTTTTTTTTTTTTTTGCTTGCATTGGTCATTTTGTGTCCAAGCAGACACGCACATGTGCAGCCGACCCACAGGTTGCAGCCTGACCTCTGGTTTTGTTGTTGAGGTAAGGTTTTCCATCAGACTGCTTCTGGCTAGTCTGACCATGCATTATTGAGCGCATCTTTTACAAGTTATGCAATCAGTCAGTGACAGAGGCATGTCTGTTTGTGTGTGTGTGAGACAGAGAGAGAAAGAGGCAGAGAGAGAGAGAGCTGGATATCTGCATGTGACAGAATCTGATGGTTATCAATCAGACTCCTTTTCTATCTATCACAACGAATTTAAAAATCGATCTTTTAAGTTGAAGTTTGAGTAAACTTGTGGGTGAAAATCGCAGCTGGAGACCAGCCTGCAGGTTCTGCGATGCGATACCTGGGAGGATTTAGAGCAGAACGTGTCGTTCAGATTTGATGTCTGGCGTGTTTTCATTCCTGTGCACCGCGAGACGGAAAGTGACCCTGGCAGCTTGAGAGTGAGGCTGCCTGAGTGACAGAAACTGAGCCTGATGGAGTCCACTGCAGACGGTTTGCTCCTGGAAAAACCCAAAAAATAAAAATAAGAAAAGAAAAGATACACAAGTTGGACGCGAATCACACCAGAACCGCGCTCTGCTCTGAGGCAAACACGTCAAGGTTGCTTAACGTCGCCTTGATTGTCAACACAGCAGTTGCCTTCACGTCATATCGAGTTGCACGCTGATTTTAATTTTAGGCTCGAGTTGGATCCGTTCGCACTCTCGCCTGCATGCTGTGCTTTTTCTTTTTTCTTTTCTTCGCCTGAGGCGACTCCACACACCATTTTTCCTCTCTGGTCCTGCAGAGGTCACCCTCATAACAGCAAGTTTACAACATCTTTGAGCTTTCTCCTGTTTCTGCTGAGCAACATCTCAATCGGGTCTTTATTTGACTTTAATTTAACACAAAAACATCCGCTTTTTTCCCGCTCCTTTCTTCGGATGCAGGAGCGAGTTGCTCACAGCCCTCTTGTGTTCTCAGCTTCATCAGGGATGAATGCAGGCAGGAAGGCCTGGTGACCGGGGATGAGGTCAAGCATGAGTCACGGGGATGAAACGTCTGTAAGGAGGAAGATGGCAGGCACGGTGATGATCTGCTCAGGGCGAGTGCAATGTGTTTGACCTTTGTGTCTGATGATCGTAGAACGTAATTCTCTTGTTGGCTTTGCTTGCACCTTCAGATTCAGCTCCACACGTCGCACACACACACACAGCTCGCACTCCGACGAAGGCTGCTGAAAAGCTCTTCCTCAGGACGTTAGATTGATCGGTTTTTTTTTTGTCTGAAATGATCAGAACATGAATTGTTTATGAGCCTCCAGTTGTTCTACTGCCGCTTGTATGTCAATAAATGCATGTTTTTTTTTATTGTGACAGACAAATCAGTTAAAGAGATTAAGGTGAAGTGAGCACAAAAACAAAATGAAATGTGCAAAAGAAGTAAATAAATAAGCTTTAGGTATTCAGTGTGTTTTCGTTGATGTGTCAAAAAAAGAGAGGCAAAAAAAAACAAATTTTGCACAGAAAAAAAATACATAAAAGGTGTTGATAAAATTTCTGGTCGTAATAAAAATAACAATACTTCTAATGATAGTGATACTACTAATAATAATAAAGCAATAATACTATTAGCTATGATGAATTTGAATTTGTTTCTATTTTGACACCGTCTTGCCATCTCAACCTTTTCCTTGTAAGTTCATCTATTGAATTTTTTTTCTTAGGTTAGTTTTTCTTTAAAATGTATTTTTAAAAATCTGTTTCAGGTCTTGCGTATTTCTTTACCTCCCTTCCTCCATTTCCTCGTCCATCCATCCCCTCCCCTCAGCCTGCTTTCCACTTGGTCCAATATAATTATTTAGTGTCTTATCAATTATAACACACCTGATCACTTTATCAAGGGAAAAACTCAGCCCTTCACCCATTGGCATATTATGTGTATCACGGAAGAGAGTTGGAAAATCTAAAGAAAATCTCAGCTGATTATTAATTCAAGGTGCGACGTACTTGTCTGCATGAGAAAGGACGGGACGATGTGTCTCTAGTCATGCGAGCCCGTCAGCAGGCGGCCAAAGTACGTAAAAGTCCTTCTGCAGGTGTGGGTTGCATTACCAGTGTGTGTCGATACTGGAAATGCAATAGCTTTGGGCTTCCCAGCAGAACATCCCAACCTGAGAAGATCATACATGTTTCAGCAAACCTCAATGCCGGTCAGGAAACTGCTGGTCATTTTCAGTTGTTTTTTTCTTGTGTTTTTAAAAATTCAGGGTGTTGTTAGCTCATAAAGCGAGAAAGCAGGAGTGGGGAGCGATATGGACTTAGAATTTTATTGTGATAGTTTGTGATACTAATTGTTAATTATTTAATGCTTTTTTTTCTTTTTTTTTAGGTAACTGTATAGCTGTGACTGCATGGCACAGCATTCAAACACAAGTATTGCCCTTGGAAAAACATTCCAACTTGACATAGGTGTCTTCACTTAAATGACTTAAAGAAGTGTAATTTGACAAAGTAACCGCATTTAATGTTTTTGAAGTTATTGGTGTTATTGGCGTTCTCGTGGAACAAACGGTAAAGAAAACAGTGCAAATAAAACTTCCGACAAAGAAATCAGTAACTGAAGTTCACTGAGAAAACAATAAATCAAAATTTTTATCATGTTAAATTGTACGTGAGAAACGAGGAACTCGAGGGTCAATGATGACCTGATTATTGTGTGTGGAAGCAGAAACACATCTAAAAGCTGCAGGACCCCCGGAGTAGCACGTAAAATCTCAACAAAATGCATCGAAATTTCTTCCTGTAGCAAGGTAAAAACGGACAAAGTGCAAGAGCGAGTTATTTTTAACCATATTCTGATCCAAAAAGTGAAATCCAATGTCCTGTCTCTTCATGTCGAATCTCCTCCCTTTCCTTTCCAGGCGACCATCACACAGCACCGGGCCAGTCAAGACGCACGGATCACTGGCTGGTCTTGATCCAGACGCATTAGAATGATGGAGCCAGGCTGACTGGACGAGAAGAAGAGAGGGGGAGAGTTACAGATCAGTCAAGCTACTGCGGTAGGAAATAACTTTCATTATTGATTCTAGTAAATCTCCCAAAGTAAAGAAAATCTGACCATGTGAGGTAATGGAGAGGCAGCAAAGGTGACACCTGCGCTGGCATGAGGTCGCCTCCTTCACAGGTCGGGAGGATCAGGCAGCTGACAGAGGAGACGGAACACACCCTTAATAAAAAAATAAAGACATCTCACCGATCATGTCAGGGATCACGTTCTCAGGAGCCCATCCGTCAATCCGAGGAATGCGTGCGTGCCCCCTTGCCCTCCCCGGGCGTCCTTGCACGTGGGCCTGCGCTGCACGCAAAGCCCTCTGGAAGCCGACACCGTTTAGAGCAGCCAGAGAGGAAAGTTTTAAAGATTCTGATGGCCCATGGCTTCTCCAAGCCAAATAGGCTTGTTTTCCTCCGCTGGCTCTGCTTCGCTTTAATAATGACACATCAGAGTCCAAATAGATGGCCGTGGCCGACCTCAGCGGCTCTACAATGGAACAATGTCTGTGTCAGGGCTGCAGTATGTGAGCCTGTGTCGTAAAACCACCTCGGATTTATTTTCCTCCAGCCACAGGTTGCTAGTCTGGGAACCTTAAGAGCTGCTTTTTACTACCTGCTTTTGGCTTTACTCAGGCAGTTCCTTATGGATGCAGAGCAGCAGGTCGTCTTAGAATAAATGTTAAGGAACGGATTAAAAATAAGAGAAAAAATCACAGTAGAATCCACTTTTTAAAGGGAATTTGTTTTACAGTGTCTGTTTTACATTTCAACTACAAATTTCAGTGTATTTCATTAGGATTTTATGCGAGTGTTCAACATGAACTACACTATAAAAACGAGGTGTCACTGTGGATTAACTGGGAAATGATATGCAACTTTTAATAGTTTTACCAAAAAAAACATTTTAAAAATCTAGCCCGCATTTGAATTGAGCAACACTAAATCAATGCTCTCTTAGGATGGAATTCCAGCTACGTGTTTTTAGGGGTTTGTCTACACCAGGTTACACATTGAATGTTTGATGTTTATATTTCTTTTCTCTTTGCAAAGTAGTTCAAGCTCAGATTAGAAGAAGCTACTTTCCCTGTTGAAGTTTGTTCACTAATGTTCTCTTAGCAAACCTCTGAAACATGCATGGAACGACTGGATTAATGCCGAGATTAAATTCCAAACTCTATTTGCCACTTCTATCACTTCTGTGGCATGAAACACACATTCATGCCACACTTTTCAGATCTTTATTGGTGAAAACAACTGAAGGTTATGCAGTGTTTGTGTCGATCTACAGTGTGAAGGCTCAAGAAAATGCAGTGAAGTTTATGGCTGTAACATTACAAAGAGGTTATGAGTGGCTACTTCTGTGCAAACGCCGTCATCCTCAAAAACTTTGCAATGATTTATTTTTACTTTTTCTAAATCTAATTTAATCGTTGACCAGGTGGAAACTTAATAATGACTCTCCAGCTGTATTCATCCACAGTTTGTCCACATCGATCAGTGTACTGTCAATATGTAGCTGAAATTTGCTTTGATTAATGTTAAACTATATTCGCTTTTATTGTGGACTTTTCTTTTCTTTGCTTACAGCCCCAGTTAGGTAAAAGTGATTTTTGGAGGCAACGGTAACTCACATGAGGATCAACAAAAAGCGATTTTTCTTCATTACTATCCTCTGCCTCGTCTTCTTGTGGTTTTTTTGGTTGCTTGTCAGAGGAAGTCTCCACTCCTCTCTCATTGAGGGGGTGGAGGGGGGCATATCGTCCATGTTTCTGTTTCTACAGAAGCTCTGCAGGCCTCTTTTGATCCGTCTCATCATTGCTTTCAAGTCACAATCTGTGCAGCCTCTGCAGACACAATCCAACTTCTTGCAGCCACCCCTACTGCAAGCTAAGTGATTTAATTGAGACAGACGAAGTCTCTGGGTCGAGTCCAGGACTCTGTAGCTTTGGTTTTGGATCTCTTCAGACTCTGCAGTGGATGTGTTTACACTGGCTCTCCAAACTGCACACACACCCCTGCTAAAACACCAGGGGTTTTGTCATGCAAAGAAAATCGAGCTAAATCATTTTTTAAAACTTTGTGTACGGCTAAGGTACGATTATCACAAAGGTGCACATGAGTACAATCCTTTTCAAGTACTTTTTTAAAAAATTCAGTTGTCTTGAGTTCATGTCACATCTTTTTAATCTGATTAATCAAATCCCACTCTCCTAATAAGATGATCCTGTATTCTGATGATATTAGTTGAAGCTGCAGTTTGCAGAGAGGTTGTAAAGAATCAAATATTGCAAAAAGCCATCAGAAGTAAGATGCAACAAAAATGTGACAGAGAGAGAAAGAGAACAAAAAAAGCGCTGCAAGCGTTGTTGCCCCTTTTTGGTTCGGTTGTTGTTACCGACCAGTCAAAGGTGCTGGTGCACTGCAGCAACATAGCTGACTGGTTATTCAGGCTTGACAGCTTTGACTTCTCAATCAATCTTTATTTATCTAACAAAAACCTCTAAATGAATCATCATAACACGGTGCATCTCCAAGCCTCGAGATCCAACTTGCACGCTCAAACTAATGTGGTTGTCGCGTTAATCATTTGCCGTCCTGCTTAGTTTTAAGGGTTTAAATCTATCGGACCTAATCATCTTTCTTACGTAACGTATTTAACTGCCTGAGGCTGACCGCAGTTTCAGCATTTAAGCTTCCACTTTCAGCCGCGTCCTCATCAGAATGGCTGTTTGGAGAATCGGGGAGCACAAGTGGTGGCAGTGGTGAACATACTGTGAGGCTGTTGAGTGAATCAGCAAATAAACGCATGCGTTTTGACAGCGAAGCGTGTGCGACATCACTTCCTGCCTCAATTAAAAATTCCACAATGCCAAACAATTAACAGCCTAACGGAGCGAACACAATCCAATCTGAACGCGTTGCATTGTCAAGAAGCCGCAGGGGAACACACACACACACACACACACACACACACACACACACACAATTAACCAGTGGACCAGATGAGATAAGGCCCTAGATGTCTGTGTGTGTGGCTAATGCCGCCTGCTTTCACAAGGGATTATCTATATTATTTTGTATTTGTTTTGCTTTTTTTTTTTTCTGATACAGTCACTTCCACATAAACACAGCAGCCGGTCTTGGGCCGTGTGGAACCCTAAACAGAAACTATTTGGGAGACGACGATTTACCTAATGTTAGATAATGTTCTCTTCATATCAAGCTCAGGCATTAGAGGTTGGGTGTTAAATCATTGTTATTGTGGAGTAGTAGATGGTGAGGTAGACTCAGTGGACCCAGGTTTGGTGAGGGAAATGATGATTTAATGATCAAAAGCACAAGAATCCAAAATCAAGGCTGATTTTGTACAGATGGTCTCAGCTTTTCTTCAAGCACTCTCCGATTAGTGGTACAATTCACGGGGAACCCGGTGATGGTGAAACGACAACACCTCCAGTTCCATAATTCGCAGCTGGTACGAGGTTCTGTTGGTGAAAAGGCGGTTTACACCCAACATGCCGTCTATTCTGGCGTCGACATCATTCACTTTTAGACTCATACAGCAGGACTTCTGCTGGATGAGTCAAACTGGAGTGTGAAACTGTTCTCTCAGGTTTACCTGTTCCTGAACTCACCTGCCTGTTCACCCTCCAATGGATCATCATTCACTGAGCTCCCGCCGGCTTCGGCTCTGTGGGCCGACTCACCTCCGCCTGGAGACCCGGTGATCCCTGCGTCGATACGAATCCGCCCTCTTGGAACCTTCAGGCTTTTTGTAATTAAAACTATTTTTGCATTAGTTCTGCTGACGCATCGAGTTTGGACTGAACCATGACAAGCCAAGTCAAGGATATTAATCGTCAAACTGGAGTGTGATAACTGCATCCTGGGTCACTTCTGAAAATGTAAAGCTGCAAAATATTTCCCTCTGTCTACATGGATTTATATGTGGGATGATATGACATCCCAGTATCACGTCACTGTGTTTTAACAAAAGTAAAAAATCTAAAGCCAATTTGGTAACGTATTGCTTTGTTGTGAATTGGAAAGGCAGCTATTAATTTCTTCTACTGCTAAAATCAGACAACATATTAAATGTTGAGATTATAATAATGTTACCAAACACAAGTTATAAATGTGTTCATGAATACCAACTTTTTGTGTGATCAGAAATACATTTTTAGTGCTATGTATGTTAAATCTGTCATTGGTGATTAATAATAACATTAAGAAAGGCAAGATGTTAAATCGACTTGTGCCGCACGGTCCGCTTCTGCCTCGGGCCGGCCCCGCTTCTCTCATTCTGTTTGCGCATCTGTTCGCCGGACGTCTAGTTTTCTGAAAAAAGGGCATCACCTCGTGACGTCACCAGCACAAATCACCCTACATGGCTGAGTCACACGCGGACACACGCGCAGAAGTGTGCGTGCGTGTGTGGCTGCGGTTTGAGCGCGTGTATGCATAGGAGGAGGAGGATGAGAGGAGGGGAGCGCAGTGGGGCGCGCTGAGCGGCAGGCAGAGCATCAGTACAGCGCAGCAGAGCGCCGCGGTCACACCGGGGAAGGACGCACCGATCTCCGAGGACAGGAAATCGGCTTTTGTTTGCCGGAGACCCGACAGGCGAAGATTTAAAAAAAAAAAAAAAAAAAAGACAAACAACAACAAAAAGGAGGTTGCGCAAAAGTAGTCTGCAACATTTAGTTGATTCAGCCTATTTCTGCAAGTCGCGGCATTTGTTTGGAAACTAGTCAAACAATGCACTCTGTCGGAGACGGCTGATGCCCGAAGATGAGACTCGGAGGAAGTTTTTGGCGACGTCCCAGTGTTTTGTGGTCCTCAGGTGGGACGAAGTCTGGTAGGTCTCTCCGGTCACCTTCTGCTGTGATGCCTCGTGGCGGCGCGCCGGCGTGCGTGTGACTGACTGACAGTCTGTCCAAGAGAGAAAGAGAGGCTGGATAGAAACAGCAGACAGGCTGTCAGGCAGCGACGGCTGGACTCCCAGCGCAGGCTTCTCTCCTCTCTCCCCGCTCCTCAGACTCATGCAGGATGCCCGGGAAGCGCCGCCGGGGAGCGCTGGTCCAGCTCAGCCCGAGTTCATGACGCCCTGGGCGGCCTCGTCATGCGTTTCTTGCCCGAGCCCAGCGCCCACTCCCTCCGGCTTCTCTTCCTCTTTATCTTCGTGATGGGGGTGGCCCCCTCTCCGGCGCTCACAGCCGGCTGCCCCGACGGATGCGTGTGCGACGACCAGCTGGTGGTCCAGTGCGCCGGGCAGGATCTCACGCTGTTCCCCAACGACCTGCCGCTGGCGACCCGGCAGCTCATCCTCTCCAACAACCGCATCGCGGACCTGCCGCCCCTTCAGCTCAACTACATGTCCGACCTGGTGTATCTCGACTGTAGCAACAACTCGCTGACAGAAATCTCCGAGTCCACTTTCGGGAACTTGCGGAAACTCGCTTACTTGGACTTGTCTTTCAACGCGCTGCTGCAGATCGAGGACCGGACTTTCGGGCCCCTGGCTTCCCTGGTGATGCTCCGGATGACGGACAACCCGAACCTGGGGGAGATCCACCCGGACGCCTTTTCGGAGAACTTTGCCCTGCAGGTCCTGGACGTGAGTCGGAACAACCTGACGGCGTTGAACATCAGCAGTCTGATCGCCCTGCCCGCTCTGCGCTCTCTGGGCCTCAGCGGGAACCCGTGGAGGTGCGACTGTGACACCGAAGACCTCTGCCTGTGGGTGCAGATAGAGGGATTCAAGTTCCAAGGTGGGTCAGATTAGCCGGTTTTCAGCAATCACTGTTGATGGATGTCGGGGGAGGCGATACGGACTTAAAGTTTTCGATAATCGCGATTTTTTCGGGGGGGTTGGGAGGGGGTGTTCCTACTGCTTTTTGAGGTAATTTTATGATAATTGTATGGCAATAACAGTGTTACAAACACAAATAATGCTCGTGAAAGACATCCCTAATTTTGATCCACCCGTCCATGAACACACACGTGTGTGTTTTTCAATCACTGAGCTGCACGTGGTATTATTGACTTTATTATTATTGAACAAACCGTGGAACAAAAGGCAAAGCTATCAATCCTGCCAGGAAAGTTTTGGGACATTTTAAACATCATTCATTTGAATTTATCATAACAATAAATCAAAAAAATTTCTATCATAAGTAATTTGTCATGACAAATGACTAATACATGCCCACCCGTAATGCAAATCAATTAATTTATTGTGAAAAAAAAACATTCCAACATAAAATATCTAATGCATTATTTGTTGGGAATGCCTCTGCTGTGCAGCATCTTTTTCTTTTTCTGGCTTGGAAAGTAAATAATCCATAAGCCAAAGCACACCTATGCTTTTAATATTTATTATTGACACTTTCATTTAGTCTAACAGAACAATATCCCAAACGCTGAACTTCTCATGGCGCACAAGTCAAGCACAACTCCAAACCTACCAAGATGTGGCCATCCATGTAAACTCACAGGCCAGGCAAGGAAGCCTTACTTGTGCATAGATCTGAATTCAACCAGTCTGTCCAATATCAATGAGTGGCACCAAAACGCATCGGTGAATTGTAGTCACTAAAAAGTGCCATTGAAAGTTTGCCTCAAGCTGAAAGGGGAACGCATCATGCATGTGGAAGTCGGACGTCCTGTCAACGTTTCGGCCTCTACAAAGCACTACTTGTAGAGGAAGGTCCTCCTGGCGGCAGCAGCAGGGATGTGGATGTTTTTTTAAACATGAACCACTGGTCAGACGGTTGGAGCATTTCTGGAATCAAACCATAACAGGCTGCATGAGCTTTGAGCGGACAACACTGAGTAACGGCACTGATTAGGTCCAGGCATATTCTTTTTTTTGTTTTTAGAATGACCTAGTCAAAGCAAGTCCAACTTTGAAAGTCTGAAGATTTTCTCACCATGAATCCCACAACACACTCGCGTCAAGCTGCCCATCAGAACTCAATAAGGGTGTCGCAGGTTTTTGCCGAAATGTTCATTAAAATGTAAGGAGGGACTTTGTCAGAGCGACGCCTCATATAAGATAAGCCAGGACATTTCCCTCCGATTGAGGACGAGCCCAGACGAGCTGTCCGTAAATGTTAATAGAGTGTAGCTCCAAAGCAGGTGAGCTAAGGTCAGGACTCATAACAAAATGTGTGTTGCTTTTTATAGCTGATGTGTTCATCAAACTCAGTGTCTATAGGCAGCCTGAGGGCAGAGTCTGGTTTAAGGGATGATGATGTCCTTCTTGTACTAGTTTTTTGTTTTTTTTCTTTGTTGCTCCACACAATCCCCTTCTGGATACACAAACACACACAGAGACGAATCCACAAAGGCTCATCAGTGTCTGCTTGTGAGCAGGTATTACCCAAACACACACTGCATACGAACCAGGCTGCGCTGCGACCCTTCAGTCCAGATGGTTAATGATGGAGCTCGAAAAAGATGGACATTGTGAAGGGCATTGTGCGTGGATGTGGGTGTTTCTGCATGCGTGTGTGTGTGAGTGTGTGTGTCAGAGTGCTAATCAGTGTGTGAGCTGAGGGGACCTGGGGTGAAATGAGGAGCTTGAGAGGAAGCTCTCCTCCTGGCACAGAGTCCCTAAAGTTGTTATCCGCCTTCAGCTGAGCTGGACTCTGAAAACGTGTAGCACATAAACAGAGAGCTCACTTATTTCTGTAGTCTGATGTTCTATTTCTCAAAATCAGAGTTCATATTGTGCCTGAGCAGCTTGTGTAGGTTTGTTTATGAATGCCGCACAAGATCCACTTGACGTGATTTGAAAGGACGAGTTAAAAAAAAAAAAAAACAAGTTTGACTTCCTTGTAGACATTTTCTATCACACACGCAGTGAAAATGATTTATACTAGCTCCGGTCTGTTCATACGCACCCCACTAAATACTTGGTGAAATATCCTGTTGCAAGTTGCACATAGACCAAACACTTTTTGGAGCTTCTAGTACAATTTTGGCTTACTTTCAAATTTAGCTGAGTTTGTTTAAAGTGTTTGGCTTCCAGATTCTGACCTGATTGTTTTAGCATCCAAAATAAACACATTCCAGCTGGCATTTACCCTGGTGTTCAGACTAAATGCCTCCTGGAGAAAACGTGACGTCAGACGAGACAAAAGTCGCCGATTTTTGCCACAATTATTAAAAGTATTTTTTTAGGGGAGAGTGTGTGTGTGTGTGTGTGTGGGCAACGTGTCACTTTGAAACAACGCGAAATAAAAGCAAGGAAGCGAAAGTTTCAAGAGCTCTCTGATTCAGCTTATTTAATATCAAACCTTCTTTTCTTTTTAATGGGAAAATATTGAGTGTTTAGATGATGTAGTTTAACTCTTCATTGAGCTGCTATTGCAATTTGTATGTTGTTTCCACCGCAGCCACAATTTTAACCTTTGGTTTTATCAAATTGTTTGGGGAAAAAAAAGATTTCCACAAATCAAATTAAATATTATGTGCATTAATAATGAAATCTGGAGGAAGTTACAAATAAAGTCATTGATCATGAAATAGAAATGCCAAATTGCTCCAGGAACCTCATTTTTAATACACAATTTAGAGAATCAGGCATGATCAGCTGATGCTGTTCCATATTATATGATATCACATATGATTTGTGTCAGAGAGTTTAACATGTCAGTGCTCACAATTTAAAAAATATATAAAAATTTCTAAAATAATTTTGTTTGCTCGATGGAACATTTTTGAGTTTGTGCTACTTGCAGTTGATTTGGGGATTTTGTTCCTGAAATCTTAATACACTTTATGTTTAGTCTGGTTACAGGCCTATTTTATTTGTCACTGCTGCATTTTAATTACATGACTTGTTGTCGAAGCCAGCACTGGAAACAGCAAGGGAATTTATAAAAGTCGCAGTTGCAAAATATTACATCAGGTCAGTTTTAACGCAGTTTCAAAACTAGTGATTATGTTAAAGAAAAAAAAAAACAATCGGCAGAAAGAACCAGACTGAAGCTGAAAATGGAGTTTTGCTGAGGCAATGCTGAACTCAGGCATCAATTTATCCAGGGAGGTGGAGGAAGTTAGAAGAAATGTTTTCTGAGAGCAGAAGTGTAGAGACCTTGTAGACCGGCACCCTACCCGGGACTCAAAAAAGGCAAGTGTGTCTTGATTTAGCGAATTACCATTTCAGAGAAATAAAATAAATGTAATCAAACAATTTCAAAATGACACATTTTCTAATCAGAACTTTACATCCACAAATAACGTCCATCGTCATTCACCTTAACGGTGATTTGTTGCTTGAGCGATCTCTTGTCGCTGTGGCATGAACAATGTTGCTTCTTTATTCTTCTTTGTTACGGCAAAGATTTGATCTGATTCATAACCCATGAGCAAAAAGTGTTTTGAATACTGTGCCTGTTTTGGGTTTTTGTCTACAAATAATGTCCAGGTGAGATTTGGGAATCTGGAGAGCATGTCTTAATTCGTGTAAGGATGATGCACTTCCTGTTTCGAGAGGTGAAGCTTTTACCTCTTTGTGTCTAAAATTGGTTTTAAAATGGCTCAGAAAAGCAGAGATGAAATGTGATCTTGAAGAGCAACTCTTTCTCCTCTTGCTGGGCGTGTTTGTTTTTGTTATGGAGCCAAGTGGAAAAAGTGATGAAAAAAAAAAAAACGGCTGTTCAGTCAGTGCAGTTAAAGAAACACGGAGTTAGCTGAAAATCCTCCAGTTTGATAAAATTACAAAGACGAAGGAGCGACACACTGCTGAAAATGTGTCACCGGGTGTCACAGAGCGGCATGAGAAAAACAACCACTGAGAAGCGTCTTTTTGTAGTGTCATGAAATGGCTTGAAGAACTAAACAAACTGCAGTCTCAATGTTCCTCTGAATGGCTTTGAACGGAGGGAACGGCTCAGATCTGCTCCGGGAGACAACGAGATCTTGCTCAACATTTGCCCCTTGAACCTAAATTACATTTTCAACCATTGATGCAGTTTTTGTGTGTTTCTGTGAAAGCTCTGTGAGATTCATTTTTTCTTCTTTTTTTTTTTTTTGCAAGAAAAGTTGACATGTTCTGACAGTCACCAAAGTCAAAAGTTTGGTTTCAGGACGGTGCGGTTGTCTGTCTGTGGGGAAACAAACAAGAAGAGTTTGGTTTGAATCTTACAAAACAAGAGGACATGTGAAGGGGATAAATGGTTTATGTAGATAAAAATCTTAAAGGTGCGGTGTACTTCTGACCTGTTCATAAGTGGCTGGAAGCATTTTTCCACCTTTTTTCCCTGCTCCCTCTCTGCAGCATCGTCTTGGCACACTCAGATTGGTTTGAGAGTATCTGCAACCATCAAATTTCAAGTATTACTGCGTATTTCCAATTGTATTTTTGTCTGGACTTTGACTGGGCCATTCCAGCACATCAAAGCATTTTGATTTGAATCACTGCAGTGTTGCTTTGTCTCTGTGTTGAGGTCTGTGTTTGTGTCCGTGAGCAGCTTTCCTGTCCCGGCTACAGAAAAGTGTCCCCGCATCACGATGTTGCCGCCACCACCGTGCTTAAGAGTGGGGATGGGACTCCTAGGATGATGGTTTTCCCCCTCACATTATGTTCTGGAAACCAAAAAGTTGAGCCTCAGTCTCACCAGCTCGAAGAGTCTTCTTTTACATATTGTTTCTTATGTTGTATTTTTTTTACTTTCATTAAGACTTTTTCATGGCATAAACAGCTAAAAGTTGTGACATCCTAGATTGAACAGGCCTCTGTGGGATGTTTAAACATCTCTGT